ACAAATTCGAATCAAATTGTAGAAATCAGTTCTGCAAAAGCTCAGTTCGTCGACTTTTTTCCTCAATCCACTGATCAAAAAAGCGACAAAATATTTAACAAATTCAAGTCAAATTGTAGAAACTGCCGATACTCTGTTCGTCGTCTTTTTTTCTTAATCCAAAAAATCAAAAAAGGGACAAAATATTGAACAATACCTCAGCAACGACATATTGTAGATAAAGAGAAAATTTTGTAGTCAACATTTTTCTTCACATAGATTGTAGTTTAATTATAAATGTAGTAAAAATGTAGATACTCTTACAAATAATACTGCTTTATACATGCTTAAACTGATTTGTAGTATATTTATAGAATTTTTGTAGAAAATTTGTAGATGAAGAGAAAAATTTTGTAGTCAATATTTTTCAACATAGATTGTAGTTTAATTGTAGTATAAATGTAGTAATTTTGTAGATAATCATGAAAACAATATTGCTTTATACATCCTAAAACTGATGTGTAGTTTATTTGTAGATAAATGTACGAATTTTATAGATATTACCGTAAAATCAGACTTCTATAGAATTTGAAATACTAGGATTAGGGACCTCTTCTACAAAGTCGTCGTCTACCGAAATCTCTTTTCCTTTTCGTTTGACTTGTTTGACTGGTGTAGAAGTTTCTCCAGCATCAACATCATGTTTTTGTTTGGTTCTCATCTCGGCTCTGATTTGTCGAGGAGAGGAACTATGAGTAGTCTGTGCAATTGCATGTGGAGATTTGCCTTGCTTTTTGGGTGATTTTGGTGATAACACACCCAAATCAAATGAGGGTATATCAGGTACTGCTGATTTTTTAGGACTTTGTTTCGAAGCTTTGTTGTTCTTCATTGATGAACTTCAACTGGAGCAAAATGGGGAACCAACTTTGTTGAAGGGTTTCTTCAATTTTTTGTGAATTTAGAGGGAGAATTTGGTTTCAGAAGATGGAAAATGGTAAAAAGAACGTGAGTATGGATAAAACGTGGGTGGGGCTGAGGGGTTAGGAGAGAGAAACGCGGGATGAGTGGGGATACTGGGATATACAGATTCCTTTAATTAATGAGTAAAAAATGTACAATTAATTATACCCTTAATTAATTATGGTATAGAATTGGTAATTTGTATTAAGTGTAATTAAGTCAAACCGTAAACATTGAGGGTAATAAGGTTTCCTATGTGGCATAGGAATGTAAAAATCCCTAAAGTATAATGGGTTAATTTGGGCTCAACCCAAATTGACCCATGAGCTAAAATGTTTGTAACCCAACCCATTAATCTCTGGGCGGGTTAGGCGGATTAGATGGGTTTGAGTTCAAATTGCCACCCCTACGGTCAGATAGTGTTTTAAGAGACAAGTCATGGGTTCGATGCGCCCAAACAACGTTCCAGCAACTCTTGACGTTAAGAGATGTCATTTTCTTTCTATATTTAAGTATATTCACAGTCTTAATATATATGTCTAAGAAAATTTTCTGATGAAGTGGTGTCGCATGACACCCCTTGGTTCAGGGTGGGTCCGTCCCTGATCATTACTTCCTTACGCAATACTATAATTTCAAAAGCATTGTGTGTTTTTTTTTTTTTTTTTTTTTTTTTTTTTTTTGGTAATTTGGTGGTTGTTTTCTCTTTAATTTCTACAATCCCTTCATCTTACACCTTCTATGCAGCACGGTGCTGCAAAATTCAATTAAGGATAAGAATACAAAAGTTATTTTCTAGTTGAATATTATAAGTACACCTACCAATCATAAGCTGTGAAAAGAGTGATATAACATCAGTTTTTTGACTTAAGAGGTGTAAGTCTTGAACTTTCCTTATGTTAAAATTGCAGACAAACAACCCATATTAACAAAGATGTTCAAGCTCAAAACTGGTCACAAGCTCAACAAGTATCAGAGGCGGAGCTAAGATTTCAATTTTATGGGTTTTTGGATTTTAGAACGACGATTTCAAGTTGTAATAACTGAGTTTTTAAATTTAATATTTTTATATATTGAATAAATTTATTAACGAAAATACACTATTTAAGCAAAAGTCATTTAGTTCGACCGAACCCGTTATGGGACGTCTAGCTCCGCCCCTGACAAGTATAGCCAGTTAAGCGTGAGGCTCTGGAGGAGCAACTCTTTATTGCATGTTGTTACCAGAGCCTGAGAACCAATTTAACAATGTAATCTCATTGACAATAGATGCACGAACCATATGTCATGTGTAGCATCGCACATATATTTATTTTGACTTCATAATCTGGAACTTACTATAGACGTAGATGTCATGCATAGTATTGCACATATATTTATCAAAGCAAATATGGTAGCGGAAGATCGTTAGGTTAATTAGCACACAATACACACAAAGTAAATAGAGAAGAAAAAATAACACATGGATTAATCGAAGTTCTACTAAGCTTAGTCCACGAGCAGAAGCAAAGAGAAGAAGTGTACAATATATAAAGAATCTCTACCTATTAACCCTTATATATAGATTCCAAGTAGTCTTAAAACTATAATAGGTCGTTTGGTAGGATGCATAAGAATAGTGATTAATAAGGTGTATTAGTAACGTAGGGATTCATAATACATGGGTTAGTAATGCAAGTATCAGTTATGCAGAGATTATTTCCTATCCATTGTTTGGTGTAGTGTTTTAAAAATTAAAATGCATTGCATTATTTTTAAGAAAATTAGTAGTTTATAAAATATCTTCCATATTCTTTAGTGACTTTAAGTATAATTTTATCTTTAACCATGCCAATGCATGCATTAATAGCTTTGGTATTGCTAATACGATAATTTGCTATGTTTTAGTTATACATAGGTTGAAAACATGTACCAAACAAGGGATTAGTAATACCAAAAATTAAAGCCAGTGCATGCATTATTTTCTCTAACGCAACCTACCAAACGACCCCCAAGAGAATGCTTTTTCCTATCCTACAAGGACAATAGATTTTCCTTTCTCAAATCTATTACTAATATTAGTGTCCTAAATAATAATATAAAATTTCCTAAAAGTACAAGAAAATAGTTCGAAGTCATAAATTACAGTATGGTTATATTTTCTCTCCGTAGAAATTCACTAGATTTAGATAAGATGTGTCTGTCAGAATATATGCATCCTTTGTGTTCTCCAGCTGTACTTTTGATCCTTTTCTTAGCTTTCCAACCTCTTTGCTTTTACCTCTATTCTTGATGCTTTCATGCAAAAAGTAAAAAAAGAAAAGTGTTATACTTATAAGGTGTTAGTTACTTTTAATAGCGTGAAGCCTTTTAGGGAATAAGGTGCGAACCCGACCCAAAGCAGATAATATCATATTTTGTAAGAGTATCTTGGGACTATTTTAACCCAATAACTATCATAGCCAATGATATGAAAGGACGAGTATGGAAATTGCGGAATGATGTCTTGAGGCGTGGCTTAGTGCATTTGGCCGTCTAAACTAGAAGAAGCTAGAATCTGGGCTTTGATGGCCGTAAATACTCTGTTGACGTGGGTTCCACATAGTTAATTTTCAAAATATTTTACTTATATGTTATTGAATATTTCTAAAGTTTTGAGACTTTTTTGGAATAACGTACAAGCTTATTCAAAATAGACAATATTAAACTATATTAAAAATATTTTTAAAGCTGTTTTAGCGCAACAACTTTGTTCTCTCTCCCTCAGAATATATCCTTCGATGTGAAAGAGCAAAACAAAGCTCTGCATATCACATGGATGGACCGAATAAAGGGACTCCATTATTGCTTGACAAGTCCCATTTGCCCGTCTAAAGAACCAAAAGGTTATTCCTTTAGTGGCACATTTTTTTTTACTATATTCTAAAAAGTATTATTATATTTAATAATTTAATAATATAAATAACTTTAGACCACAAATTTCAAACAAATAGTGCCACATAAATTAGGATGTAAGAAGTGATATGGACCCTCCATCCGTCACGGGCCCCAGCAGCGAAGCTATATGTATGATCTAGGATGGTCAATTGAACACTTTTCGCCGAAAATTTATATTATATATAGAATAAACTATGGAAAAAAAAATAAAAAATAGTAAGATTTATAATTGGTAATTGAAAAGTAGCCACAATTTTAAAAATAATCGAAATTTAGCTACTTTTTTATATAAAGATAAAATCTGAACAAAACATCCTTAAAATCCGAAAAAAAATCCAGCAAAATATGATGGAGTTCGAATTTTTTACATATGAGTTTCTAGCATAATGTGATGGAATTTCATAATGTGTTGGAGTTCCAATATAATATATTGGATGTGTTTTATACGCAGGAGCTTCATAATCCAACATATTATGCTGGATTTTTCCGTGTTTCAGTAAAATAGTGACTATTTTTCAATGCTCTGCAAATGCTGGCTCGAGCCCGCATATTAGTTCTGAAATTCAAATCAATTGAGTTCCAAAACAAATACCGGACTGAAAAACTAGGAAAGATAATGCTATAATTCAGAGCTCATATATAATAGGCTGGACCATACACTACAACATTTTAGGCCTTTAACCACACCTGAAAAGTGTGGCCTAAACAATCCGAAAGTGTGGCCTTTAGTAAAAGGCCACACTTTTCGGTCTACGGCAACGCTTTTCGAGGGGTGGCCTAAAAGAACGTAACCTTTGACCTAAAGCAACGCTTTGGAAATGTTCCTTTAGAAACAAAGGCCACGCTCATCAGGTTACGCTTTTCGGGTACTATGCAACACATTAAAAGCGTGACTTTAGTTACTCTTTAGACTACGCCTTTCAAGTGTAGCTTTTGCTGTTATATAGGCCATGAAAATTTCAATCCCTATAGCCACACTTTTGAAGTGTGTTAATTTTTTCTAAGCTATAAAATATTTAATTTGTTTATTTGTACCAGCCATGCTTTTGTGGTTAATAAATTATATTTTTGTATATATCCTATTATCACATTTTAAGTTTGAAAATCTCAAGCACTCAATTAATAAGAAGATAACAAAAGAATAATTCAAAAGAGAATAAATCTCGTGTACTACATTAATGCATAAAGCAAATTGTTTCAAGTGGCATGCTAGTATTTCAACTTTACAAATCCAAACGTACTACTATAATATCATGAATACAAAAATTTTAACTGTCCAATGTCATCACTAAATTCCCATAGATGAGATTGTCTTTGGCCACTATTTCCAATTGCTCGCCAGAACTTCCCTACATATGCAAAATAAAATTATTAATCAGATAGAAATTAAAAGTGTACAAGTGCAGAGTTAGCGTAACATAGCAGAGTTCCCTCAAAAACTTAAATACCAAACAATATCCTAAGAGCAGATATCTGCTAAAAATATGAGGATTAAGCCTAACCCAAACTAGCAGAGATATACTATACTACTAAATATTCATCAGCATTGCCGCCGGTTATATTTTTGCTTTATCACCAGCATTCCTTTGTATTTTTGCATTGTCAATTAGTTAATCATCTATATTCAATTCAACTTACTTTTTATTTCCCAACTCAACCTGATTAGTTTTCTTTTTTGTTAAATAACTTTGATCACTTATCTTAAAATAAAAATTTAGTCATTCTTATATTACTAGTTGGCTTACATCTTCATTTCTCCCAATTCTACTTAGATCATTTTCCAATCTCAATGTTAGCTGATAATAATACTAGTACATGTTATTTGACAAGTTTTCCCTAGCTAACAATCTTTTCAGAATTTTAGACTATATTTTAGGCACTTGTCCATATAATTCTAAACGAATGGTGTCTAATCCTTTACTCAAGTAGAAAGAAGAGTCAAATTTGCTCCTACACTATGTTGTGCGGACTTTTCAAAATGATGCCGCTTCCGTGTCGGATCCTCAAAAAATGCACTACTTTTGGCGGATCCGAAATGCAGCCGATGATATTTTCGGAGAGTCCGAGCAACATAGCTCCTACACTATCCAAAATTGACCTAAAATAGGTGTAGCGTGCCACGATAACCAAAACAATCAAAAAAAAAATACCTTTTCAAGAATTAGATCATGATTGATCCCGAGGAATATAGAAGATGTTGGCCTCATAACCCATACACTATTCGCTAACTAACCCTCCCACAAGATTATCAAGTTTCACATGTGAGTTAGTATGAAGGATGAACTCATTACTTTCAAATAATAATGGCAGCACATTCATAAGATGCCAAAATTGTCCAATATGTATGAGATATACATATGCAAAAGAGCCAAAACAAATTATAATAATAGAGAAAAAATTATAAATGTTACGAGATCAAAATGTAACCTTACGTTGGAATGATTCAAGTAACAAAACATATGGACAATAAGAAGTCGCCAGAACATAAAAAAGGAAAAGCTTTTAGGATTTATTAGTTGAGATTACCTCTACGAAAGTGCATGAACGATTGGAGCCTTGAACCTAGAGTCGCCCTGTATCCCTTGGGGAGTTAAAACTGCTAGAAGTCCGAAGATTGCCACTATTTAACAAGAAAATAAATGCAACAAATGATTAAGTTCAAAGATCAGCTCAAAGTGGATAATTATCCATCTATACATTTATCTAGCCTCTTGATAATTTGACTCCAAGATCATTAACAAGATTCACTGACCAAGCAAATGGTTAGACACTAACTGCTAAAAATTAAACTAACAACCCTATGGAAGCCATCCGAAGAAATTCATCTTATAGACTTGGGATGCAATTTTTTTCTTATTAAATTTCGTTATGAGGAAAATTTGTGTAAAGCTTTACATGAAGGGCCCTGGTTCATACTAAACCACTTCCTTTCTGTTCGCCGTTGGGAGCCTAAGTTTATTGCGTCCGCAGTTCAACTAACGTATGCTGCTCTATGGATACGACTACCAGAACTTCCGACGGAATTTTATGATTTTCAATTACTGCATAGGACCTAACCAAATCTTTAACCAAATATTTCTAACCCAACAGATTCTTTAAACTGAGTTAAACAAGCATAGGACCTAACCAAATCTTCAAATATTTTAGCATAATACTCCCCAAAACACACAAAAAGAACACTGTAATAACAGCTCAAAGCATGCTTTCAACATATCCATAAAATATCATAGTCATTTCAAGCCCAAAATTCATTTGAATCATGCACATTATTGGCTTTAACCAAAGCTAAATAACCCTCAATACCAGGAAACTAAGAAGGAAGAGCTATAAAAAATTTCTATCAAAAGAACAGATCAGGCGGTAAGAAGTTGCTAATCTTAATTTGTCTTCTTTTTTTAAACATCAAGGATATTAGCAACTAAGCAACAATCCTCCACATACATACGTACATCTATATCGTGACCTTTGTCCCTTGCAACTGATAAATAGTTGTTTGATAATATCCATTGGAAATGAATAGTTTTTTGGTATTGAACAACAACACACTGGAAGTGGATATTAACAGTTACACTTTACCTCAATAGACGAGTGTATCAGATGAATACTCCTCAATCAACAATAAATTACTTCCACCACCTGGAGAATAGGCACAAAAATGCAGACATCGTCAACATTCAAATACGCATAAAAATAATATGAACTCATCATCTAACAAAACTGTCATATTCGCAGGCTTCTAAAGCAAAAAATGCAAGATAAAAAATAAGATCTTGTAAGTGTTAGTGGTATGATAAAAGAGAGTATTCACCTTTCAAGAATAATAACATCCATCACGAATTAATAGTGCTTAACTTCAAAATTAGAAGTCGTCTTACCCAAGTTTTTGGATGCGGCTGTAATCCCTAAACAATGAAATCCCCAATTATTTCAACCTGCTCTAAAGAGCAAATACTGTATGAAAGAAGAAGAGCATTCACCTTTCAAGAATAATAACCTCCCATCACAAAATAATAGAGCTTAATTTCAAAATTAGCAGTCATCTTATCCAAGTTTTGATAAACGATAGTAAACCCTAAACAATGAGATTCCCAATTGAATCGGATGGCACATAACCGAGACAAAGTTTAGCATCTCCATAAGCGATTTCCACATAACCCAATAGATTTAATTGAACTCACTCTAATTTGCTTCAATCAATCTGCTAAAAGATACGAGAAGAGCCCTCAACTTTGATTATAGAATTTTAAGGAAGAAAAAAAGGAGATTTTCTTGTGAACATGAGAGACAGGTTTTAGCGAATATTTTAGGGCATAATTTTTCAGTAAAAATTTTAGGGGGAAATTATAGCAGGAATTTTTAGAAAATATTTAGGGCACGCTTATATAGAGTTTGCTTCTACAAATATTAACAATCACGCTCCCAAAGCGTTGCATTACATATGGATAATCGTTGCTATTTATTTTATAATTTGGCAAATACTTAAAAGACGTAGTCTATACTGTCAAAGGGAACGCTTTATAAGTGTTGCCTAAAAGTCGTAGCCAAAAGCTCTTAGCAAAGACCACCCCCTAGAAAGCGTTGCTACATACATATTTGGCCACGCTTTTTAGGCGTTGTCTAAAATTGGTGTGGTCTTAGACCAAATTTGTTGTAGTGATACTTTATTTTCATATTCCTTTATGATATATTTAGGAAATCTTCAAGATAATTATTTATCCACTGAACCTAACATATATCTTCCTCCTTCCGAGCTTCTTCATTAGGTAGTTTTCTCCTACAGCAACACTTAGAAACATTATACTCCTACATATAGATATATCGAAAATTCTGGGCCTTATATTTGGTTAAATTTTAAAATTTTCATCATTATTTGTTGATATGATCATTTCTGTGATTTCTTTTATTTACTCCTGAATTTTATAATTTTAATGTTCATCTCTTGTGCTTCCTCTTAGGATATATTGTATCAGAAATTGGATTTACAAAAGAAGACAAAAGCACGCTTGATTGATTGTAAGACTTGGAACTGAACTTGTGTTAACTTATCTTCTTTCCCTAGGAATTAGGAACGGACAAATTATGTAGTTAAACAGAAAAATTCATCATTAATCCTATTTAACGACGAATTATCAAAAAACCATATTAGCTACGAGCGATTTAGCGACAGATTAGCAATGAAGTTCGTAGTTAATTCCAAATTTTTTAGTAGTGCTAAATTGGTTTCATTTTGCATTCTACAAGTCTAGTTCTTATATTGCTAGAAGAGCTACATGAATCCATTTAGCTTCGGTCTTAATAACTACTACTCTCTCCATCCCAATTTATGTGATAGTGTTTGCCTGATCATAGAGTTAAACGAAAAAACTTTTGAAACTTATGGTTTAAAATAAAACTTAGATATTTATGTGGCTATAAATCATCTCGTTACTAGTTACTTACCTTCTTGGAGCAACGGTCATGTTATTTCCTTGTGATCTATAGGTCACGGATTCGAGTCGTGGACATCAGGGTAGGCTGCCTACATCACACCTCCTTGAGTGCGGCCCTTCCCCAGACCCTGTGTGCATGCGGGATGCTTTGTGCATCAGGTTGCCCTTTTTTTTACTAGTTACTTACCTCAAAAAATATGAAATAAGGGAAGTTCGTATAATATATTTGATATCGCAAAAGAGATATGCGCAATATGTCAAAACCTAAGGGAAGTTTGTGAAATTTTTCATAATAAAAAATGTGCAGAATGTGTATAATCTTTCACAAGAATTATAGCTTATGATAGTAGTATTAAAAGACATTAATAAAATTTCCCTCTTAGTGAAGATTAATATGACAAGAGTGCAGGGGTTTTCTACTTTTTTAATTTATCTACGGAAGATGGCGCATAACGACATTGAGGATATGTTAGATCACCTGAGAAATATTAAGAGTAGAGGTGATCTGAATGTTGTCAAGATTGAGACACTTGAAATGGAGCTGAGATTTTTGAGAACCTTTATAAAGTACCCTCATGCTCTTTTGCCTGATTCCTTAGTAGAAATCAGAAAGAAGGCCAAATTGATTGCGGAAATGCTTCACTCAGTTTTTGGTGGTATTCCAGGTGAATACAAAACTAGTTTTTATGTGGAAAGGCTAGTATCAGAGTTGCAGGAATTCAGTGAAGATAACGGTACCAGTTTAATATACAACTTTGAGCTGAATGATTCCTATGTGTTGGAATATATGGATTACCTTGACCAGAATCTAATTGATGTACCAAGATACTTGGTTCGATCTGTCACTTTTTTCGCGGAAAAAATTAATATCCTGCAGAAGATAGATAGATACTTAAGGCAAGTCAAAGTCATTCAAAACAAAATAAGGTTTGTAAGATACTTATATAGTGCAGAGGTAAATGGTTATGTCGACCGTGAGAAGTTGGAAGGTATGCAGGCCCGAATAAAGTTCATGGCTGACAATGTGCGACAGTTCTGCCTTGCTCTTTGGATTAAAGAGGATGGAGATGATACATCTAATATCGAGAGTAAGCCTCGTTATCTACTATGCTTGGTTGTGATAGTGGAGTTGGAAATGAAAAAGGTTTTTCTTTGTGAACTGAAGGCCTCAAAGTTTACTCAATCAAGAACTTTCAAGGATAAGAAATTACCAAAAGGATTTTCATATCAACTCCACTGTCTTCTGGTGTATCTTAGAGATAAAAATCTTGATAACTTTCCCACTTTTGTCTCTGCTCGAAACATTGATGTGGCAATAGAGTTCTTGTTAGTTTTTCTCGGCGATATACCAAATCATGTTATTAATGGTAATAGGTTGAATGAAGTCTTAGAAAAGGTTGGAGTTCTTGTGGGTGACATGCTTTGTGTAATTCAAATGCAGCTTCTTTCAGGATCGGCAATCAAAGATGATGCGAGCAAGATTGATCTTGGCGCGATACAGATATTGGAGAAAATTGAAGATCTAAAGGCACAACTAGAGAGGTACTACAAATCCTTAAAATACAGGCCATCTCAGTTTCCCACCGTTGGTGGATTGAGCTTTCTGGATTCGCTCCTAAGGAAATTGAATGAGATGTTGAAATCTGAAACATGTTTAGATTTCATGTTGAAACCTCATATTGTCATTTTAGAGAAAGATTTCTCGTATCTAACATCTGTTTTCAGAGATGTTGCAAAGGTTCAGCATGAACATGAAATTCTTAAAGATCTTTGGAGGCGTACTATCAATTTGGCTTACGAAGCTGAAGTTTCCATTGACTCTATTCGTGCTCAGTGTAATGCTCTTTGGTATATTTTTTGCTCACTTCCTATAATATTAAAAGAGATCAACCATATTAGTATAGAGGTGACCAGGATGTGGTCGGAGAACCTTGCGCTTAAGCCCTGCTCTATGGTAGAGCCATCTAAACATCTGCCTACTCAACATAGCAATCTTATGAATGATGAGGAGATAGTTGGTTTTGAGAATGACACGAAAAGAATAATTCAGTATCTGACACGAGGGACAAATGAGCTAGATGTCATCCCAATTGTTGGGATGGGGGGACAAGGTAAAACAACTTGTGCTAGAAAGTTGTACAATAATGACATCATTGTTTATCATTTTGATGTTCGAGCATTCTACGTTATTTCCCAAACATATAGCCGGAGAGTGCTATTACAAGAGATTTTCAATCAAGTTACCGGTTCCAAGGACAAAGTAGATGAGGTTGGCGAACTAGCTGACATGTTGAGGAAAAGCTTAATAGGAAAGAGATATCTCATTGTCTTGGATGATATGTGGGATTTTATGGTATGGGATGACTTAAGACTTTGTTTCCCTGATGTTGTAAATAGAAGTAGAATTATAGTAACAACTCGTCTTGAGAAAGTGGGTGAACATGTCAAGCTCCATACTGATCTTTATTTCCTTCCATTCCTCACACCCGAAGAGAGTAGGGAATTGTTGCAGAAAAAAGTGTTACAAATGAAACTTGCCCACCTGAACTACACGATGTGAGTCTAGATGTTGCAAGACGATGCAAAGGGTTGCCCCTAGTGGTTGTCTTGGTAGCTGGGATAATCAAAAAGAAGAAAATGGAAATATCTTGGTGGCATGAGGTTAAAAAAGCTCTATTTTCCTATCTTGACCGTGAGTCTGAAGACTATAGTCGGGCAACTATGCAGTTAAGTTATGATAACTTACCCGACTATTTAAGACCTTGCCTTCTCTACATGGGGATGTTTCCAGAGGACGAAAGGATCCCAATGTCTAAATTGATAAGTTTATGGATAGCGGAAGGCTTTGTGCAGAACATGGAATCTGGGAGATTAATGGAAGAGACAGCTGAAGGTTACTTGATGGATCTCATTAGCAGTAATGTTGTAATGGTTTCAAGGAGAAGATGTAACGGTAAAGTCAAATACTGCCAGGTTCATGATGTAGTGCTTCATTTTTGCTTGGAGATGAGTAGAGAAGAAAAGTTTATGTTGGCAATGAGGGGGAACATTCTACCTTCCGATTTGAAGGAAAGTCGAGTCAGCTTCAGTTTCAGTAATGAGCTTTCCATGTTTGCATCCAAAATGCGGAAGCCTTTCCACCAACACTTGAGGTCACTGATAACCACCAATAGAGGAGAATCTTTATATTCCCATCAATGAGGTTATTAATTTTATGAGGCTTCTTAAGGTCTTGGATTTGAGTACCCATAACATGGGTCGATTGTCGTTAGATATGTTGAAACCACTAATTCACCTCAAGTACGTCGCACTTTTCACAGATAAATTCGATTTTGATGGAAAATCACATCTTCCCCATCTAGAAACTTTAATTCTCAAGTGTTTAATGCGTACGCAGTTATCAGCGAACTTTTGGAAAATGAAAAAATTAAGGCATGTAGATTTTATTGAAACTGGTTTCTTTTGGGAAAAGCAGATCTTTGAAGAATCCTCTAAGTTGGAAAATTTGAGGATATTAAGGGGTGTTGAATTTACACTCGATGCTGAATGCTTAAATGTTTTAGTAAAGAGGTGTCCTAATCTTCAAGAACTTGAAATCTATTTTTTGAGAAATGATTTTGATGAAGAAAAGATTTGTCCCAAATTGGAGAGTCTTAACCAGCTTCAATCACTTCGCCTTTTCTTTGACTTGTTCCCTGTACCCAAGTTACACTTGCCTTCAAATATAAAGAAATTGTTACTATGCGGGGCTCGGATAGAAAGCGCAATTTTCTCCATTGCAGGACTACCAAGACTGGAGTATCTCAAATTAAAGGATAGGTATTTTGTTCATTCCGGAGAGTGGTGCCTTGGAGATATCACGTTCCCTAAACTCAAGTTGTTGAAACTTATGAACTTAGGTATCTCAAGGTGGGATGCCTCAGAGGAATCTTTTCCCCGGCTTGAAACACTTGTTATACAAATGTCCAGGTATCTCGAGGAGATCCCCCTTAGCTTTGCAGATATTCCA